AAAGCAAAAATAAGTAGTTAAAAGTTAACATAGTTGATGTACTGAAAAACATTGCTGCAAACAGACTCGTATATTAACTTATATATCACTGCAGCGTACTGACTATACTCCTGCTCTGACATCAACAAACTTAACTGACTTCTAACTTCTGACTCAAACCTCAACTGACTTCTAACTGACTTAGCTTACTCCAACTGACTTCTGATTCAAAAGTATTCTAAAATGCAGTCTCACTCTAAATGTTCTAAGACCAGGGTCACATGGCCTGTAGTCCCTCCCACAACCTGCAACAACAGAGTTAAGGGGAAAGCTGCATACCAATATATATACAAGCAATCTCAATTATAAACATTACACATAACTAGTATAGGAGGCTTATAGAAGGTTGCTATTTCCAACAATCCCATGCCTTGAATTCTCTTTATCATAAACTCTATAGGTCGTTGCTTCCCAAAATGGTGGCCCGTGGACCAGTTCCAGTCCAAAGAATTGCATCCAGCACATTTAAATATAGCACCGATTCATAGATGAAGAAGATATGGCTGAAATTCACTGATTCTAGACTGCTGTGCTCTTTTATGGGGAGATATATATCGTCCCCTGCCACGCGTTGCTGTGGCCCAGTCTGTTGATCTGGAAAATGAAGTAATGCGAAAGTGTTGGTTTCTAATATATGTAATGTCTTTATGTTTGTGGGTAAACAGTACTTCTTGTTGTTTCTTTGTCAGTGTTGATGTGGAGAGTGTCTGGTTTGCCTACTCTGGAACATGCAACCTATCATTGTCTTTCTTTAGGGGTCCCTTTCAAATCTATGATACTATATCTGTGTGCGTGTGAATCATATTTATCTATATCTAGGGCTGGATGGCTTTGTCAGGAGGGCTATGATTACGTTTTTTTGCTCGGGTGAATGGAACTGGACTGGATTGCCTTGAGTGTTTTCTCAGGGCAAATACTGGGGGTTCTGTGTGGGAAGCTTGCCCCGATTCTGTCATTGGTGGGGTTTAGAATGCTCTTTGATTGTAGGTGAACTATAAATCCCAGCAACCACAACTCCCAAATGACAAAATCATAATTTTTTGAGTGATGGTCACTCCTTGTGTTGTGAGACGTTTTGTTGCCAAATTTGGTGTGATTTCGTTTATTGGTTCTTTTGTTTTTAACTTACTCATTATTCACAGAGCATTTTTATATATATAGATATACCACTATACCATATGATTTAAAGTACACTTGTGAGGGAAAGAAAGGATATATCCAACTGGGAAAAATCATGCAACAATTGTGAGACCCCCCCCCCCAATCCCTTCTATTAGTGATTATTAGGCATTCTTTTACAATATAATCTATTGATTTTGTACATACCTTATTTTTTCCAACTTCAGATGCAATTTTAATCTTACACCAGTAGAGGGTAGTCCTTGCCTATGGAAATAGGATGGCCATAGAAAAGAATAAAGGTACTTTTTGCATCAGTTTTTACGGACTAAGTGGAAACTTTGGGTTTTTGCACTGTAGGTTTTATGATGTTATATATATATATATATATATATATATATATATATATATATATATATAATTAGTAGTATACTATTATTAGCATTTTATCTGCATTATTATTTAATTATTTTTATTGTTATATTACTCTTATTTTACTATTATTACTAGTATTTTATTTGCATTATTATTTAAATATTATTTTATTGTTATATTTTTATTTTACTATTATTACTATTATTTTATTTGCATTATTATTTAAATATTATGTTTATTGTTATATTACTATTATTTTACTATTGTTACTAGTATTTTATTTACATTACATTATTATTTAAATATTATTTTTATTGTTTTATTACTATTATTTTGCTATTACTACTAGTATTTTATCTGCATTATTTTAATATCTTTATTGTTATATTATTATTATTTTACTATTATTACTAGTATTTTATTTGAATTATTATTTAAATATTATTTTATTGTTATATTACTATTATTAGTAGTATTTTATTTGCATTATTATTTAAATATTATTTTATTGTTATATTACTATTATTTTACTATTATTACTAGTATTTTATTTGCATTATTATTTATTATTTTTATTGTTATATTGCTATTATTTTAATATTATGTTATATTATTATTATTTTAGTATTATTACTAGTATTTTATTTGCATTATTTAAATATTATTTTATTGTTGTATTACTATTATTTTAATATTATTAGTAGTATTTTATTTGCATTATTATTTAAATATTATTTTATTGTTATATTACTATTATTTTACTATTATTACTAGTATTTTATTTGCATTATTATTTATTATTTTTATTGTTATACTAGCTGTGCCCTGCCACGCGTTGCTGTGGCCTATAGTAAAACTTATCAAAGTTGAGGTAGATATCTGGACTATTATGAAAGAGCGGTACCTAACTATTCCTTTCCCCTTTTTCTCCCCCTTTTCTCCTTTCTTCCTTCTCTACCTCTTTCTTTCTTTCACTACTTGGTTTCATCCTTCTCTCTTTCCTTCATTCCCTCCCCCTTTCTTCCTTTGCCTTTCTTCCCTCCCTGTTTGCTTCCTTCTTTCACTTTTTATTTCCTTTTATTTTACCACCATCATAACAATAACAATAATGCAATGCATTGCCTCTGGGACCTGACACCTCTCCCATTCCTCCAGGGTCTCATAGGAACAATAGCATAATAATAATAATAATAATAATAATAATAGAAATAACAACCTTTACCCGCCACGTGTTGCTGTGGCCAATCTTCCCTCTTTCTCTCCTTCTTTCCCTCCTTCCTTCCTTCCTTCCCTCCCATCTTTCCTTCCTCCTCTCTTTTCCTCTATCTCTTTCCTTCCTTCCCCCTTTTTTCTTTTCCTTTTCTCTCTTCTCTTCCTTCCTTCCATCTCCTTTTCTTCCTTCCTTTTCTTCTTCCTTCCTTCTCTACTTTCTTTTCTTCCCCCTTTTTTCTTTTCCTTTCTCTTTCTTCCTTTTTTTCTTTTCTTTCTTTTCCTAGAATTTGACCAGGGCTGAAGGGCGGCTTGGGTTTTGATGGGGTTGTGTGTGTGTGTGGGGCGGGGGAGTGATGGAGCTGGGGTTGCGTGTGTGTGTGCAGCAGCGGGGGGAGTGATGGAGCGTGGGGTTGCGTGTGTGTGTGGCGGCGGGGGGGAGTGATGGAGCGTGGGGTTGTGTGTGTGTGTGCGGCGGCGGGGGGAGTGGGGTTGCGTGTGTGCGTGCGGCGGCGGGGGGGGGGGAGGGATGGGTGGGGTTGTGTGTGTGTGTGCGGCGGCGGGGGGAGTGGGGTTGCGTGTGTGCGTGCGGCAGCGGGGGAAGTGATGGAGTGTGGGGTTGCGTGTGTGTGTGCGGCGGCGGGGGGAGTGATGGAGTGTGGGGTTGTGTGTGTATGTGCGGCAGGGGTGTGTGTGTGTGCGGGAAGCGGCGCGGCAGGGCTTGGAGTGGGCATGGTTTCCGCAGAGGGAACGTTGGCCGGAAGGGCATGTGCGCGCGCCAGGGAACTTGCGGCTGGGCGCCAATGCGCATGCTCAGTTGTTTTGCCGTTTTGTGAGTGTGTTGTTGTGTTGTTTTTCATGTAGAGTAGATACGTTTGTACCTTGTGGGTTGTGTTATGGGCATGGGAATTTTGGTTAAGTTTCGTTGGGGTTTTTTTGAGTTTTGTTTTTTTGCCGTTTTGAGTGTGATGTTGTGTTGTTTTTCATTTTGAGTAATATGTTTGTACCTTGTGGGTTGTGTTATGAGCATGGGAATTTTGGTTAAGTTTCGTTGGTTTTTTTAGAGTTTTATCCTTTTGCCGTTTTGTGAGTGTGTTGTTGTGTTGTTTTTCATTTTGAGTAGATATGTTTGTACCTTGTGGGTTGTGTTATGGGCATGGGAATTTTGGTTAAGTTTCGTTGGGATTTTTTGAGTTTTGTTGTTTTGCCGTTTTGTGAGTGTGTTGTTGTGTTGTTTTTCATTTTGAGTAGATATGTTTGTACCTTGTGGGTTGTGTTATGGACATGGGAATTTTGGTTAAGTTTCGTTGGGGATTTTTTGAGTTTTGTTGTTTTGCCGTTTTGTGAGTGTGTTGTTGTGTTGTTTTTCATTTTGAGTAGATATGTTTGTACCTTGTGGGTTGTGTTATGGGCATGGGAATTTTGGTTAAGTTTCCGTTGGGGGGGTTTTGAGTTTTGTTTCCTCGTTGGATGCCCCTAACAAATTTATATATATAGATTGCTATTATTTTAATATTATGTTATATTATTATTATTTTAGTATTATTACTAGTATTTTATTTGCATTATTTAAATATTATTTTATTGTTATATTACTATTATTTTAATATTATTAGTATTTTATTTGCATTATTATTTAAATATTATTTTATTGTTATATTACTATTATTTTACTATTATTACTAGTATTATATCTGCATTATTTTACTGTTATTACTGGTATTTTATCTGCATTATTTAAATATTATTTTTATTAATTACTATTATTACTTGTATTTTATTTGCATTATTATTTAAATATTAATATTATTGTTATATTACTATTATTACTAGTATTTTATCTGTATTATTATTTAAATATTATTTTATTTTTATATTATTATTATTATTTTACTCTTATTATCACTAGTATTTTCAGAGTCCAAGTTTCAAAAGACTAACGGCCGTTTGAAGAAGAAGCCACGCCCCCTGGATTTAAAAAAAACCCTTCTGCGCATGCTCATTTCCAAACTCTTCCTCGGCTGCCTTACGAAGGGTTTGAGGTTTTGGGAAACCTATTGCGCATGCGCAGTCCTTTTCTCTCCTCGCTTCCTTTCCCAACGGCCGTTGAAGAGCTGCGCGCGCACTTCTGCGCTTTGTGCTCTATAGTTGAGGAGGGAAGGTCGGCTTCTGTGGCGCATGCGCCTTAGGGCGAAGGGGCTTGAGGGCGGACGTGTGACGTCAGGACGCCGGTTCCCTTGGGCGTGCTGACGTCAGGCTCCGCGGCGGCGCAGCGTCCTTTCTCTCTCTCTCTCTCTCTCTCTCTCTCTCCCTTTCTGCCTTTCTGTGCCTGAGCTTCTTTCCCCTCCGTCTCTGTCTCGCTCGCGCTCCGAATGAAAGGGAAGAAGGCTCCCCGCGAGAGAAGGGCTTGGGAGCGGGCTTTCTGAAGGGAAGGCGCCCCTCTTCCGCCGGGCTCCGGCCTTCGCCTTGGTAGGCCCCGCGCCTCGACGCGCGCCCCTCAGGCCAGGCCCCGCGGTTGCCATGGGAACGGCTCTTTCCTGCCCCCCCCGGTTGGGAATAGAGTTTGGCGTGTTTGTGAATGGGAAGGGGAATTGGGGGCTTAGAGAGGGGCCTGCTTGGCCTTCAAGGGAGAGGGGGCTAAGGCAAAGCCTTCACAGTAATAGTAGTGATATAATAGCTACAATAGTAATGTAGCAGTACTAATAATATAATAGCAATGATAATAGTAGCAATAATGTAATAGTAATCATAATTATAATGTAGTAATAATAATAATTACTAGTTTTTTTGTCGTGTCAGGAGCTACTTGAGAAACTGCAAGTCGCTTCTGGTGTGAGAGAATTCGCCGTCTGCAAGGACGTTGCCATCAGGAGCTACTTGAGAAACTGCAAGTCGCTTCTGGTGTGAGAGAATTCGCCGTCTGCAAGGATGTAGATGATTTGATGTTTTTTATCATCCTTGTGGGAGGCTTCTCTCATGTCCCCGCATGAGGAGCTGGAGCTGACAGAGGGAGCTCATCCACCTCTCCCCAGATTCGAACCTGCGACCTGTCAGTCTTCAGTCCTGTGTCGTCAGGACAATTCTCTCACAACAGGAGCGATTGCTCCTGACACGACAAAAAAAAAAGTCCTGCCAGTACAGGGTTTTAACCCACTGCGCCACTGGGGGCTCATAATTACTAGTAATGATATATAATAATTATAGATGCTGGCGAAACGTCAGGAGAAATGCCTCTAGATCAGGGGTCCTCAAACTTATAAAACAGAGGGGCATGTCACAGTCCCTCAAACTGTTGGAGGGCCGGATTATAATTTGAAAAAAAATGAATGAATTCCTATGTACACTGCACATACCTTATTTGTAGTGTAAAAACCACTTAACAACAATACAATAATTAAAATGAAGAACAATTTTTAATAAATATAAACTTATTAGTATTTCAATGGGAAGTGTGGGCCTGCTTTTGGCTCATGAGATAGGATTGTTGTTGTTGTGTGCTTTCAAGTCGTTTCAGACTTAGGTTGACCCTGAGTGAGAGCCGGGTAAATGACCTTGGAGGGCCGCATCCGGCCCCCGGGCCTTAGTTTGAGGACCCCTGGTCTTGATCTAGGGAAGTCATGCTCCCCATGCTCTATTCCGCTTTGGTTAGACCACACCTGGAATATTGTGTCCAATTCTGGGAACCACAATTCAAGAGAGATATTGACAAGCTGGAATGTGTCCAGAGGAGGGCGACTAAAATGATCAGGGTCTGGATAATAAGCCCTATGAGGAGCGGCTTAAGGACCTGGGCATGTTTAGCCTGAAGAAGAGAAGGCTGAGAGGAGATATGATAGCCATGTATAAATATGTGAGAGGAAACCACAGGGAGGAGGGAGCTTGTTTTCTGCTTCCTTGGAGACTAGGACACGGAACAATGGCTTCAAACTACAAGAGAGGAGATTCCATCTGAACATGAGGAAGAACTTCCTGACTGTGAGAGCTGTTCAGCAGTGGAACTCTCTGCCTCGGAGTGTGGTGGAGGCTCCTTCTTTGGAAGCTTTTAAGCAGAGGCTGGATGGCCATTTGTCAGGGGTGATTTGAATGCAATATTCCTGCTTCTTGGCATGAGGTTGGACTGGATTGCCCATGAGGTCTCTTCCAACTCTTTGATTCTATGATTCTATAATAGTAATAATAAAAATAATATTGCAATAATATATTATTATTACTATCAATGATAATATATTATTACTATTAATGGAGCCCCCGGTGGCGCAGTGGGTTAAACCCCTGTGCCGGCAGGACTGAAGACCGACAGGTCGCAGGTTCGAATCCCGGGGAGAGGCGGATGATCTCCCTCTATCAGCTCCAGCTCCTCATGCGGAGATATGAGAGAAGCCTCCCACAAGGATGACAAAACATCAAATCATCCAGGTGTCCCCTGGGCAACGTCCTTGTAGACGGCCAATTCTCGCACACCAGAAGCAACTTGTAGTATCTCAAGTCGCTCCTGACAAAAAAAAAAGGCAAAACAGTAAACGAGTGACTTCCACTGTCAAAGGTCCTAGAATAGCGTTTCTCAACCTGTCGCTCCTGACACGACAAAAATCAATAAATTACTATTAATATAAAATAGGAGTCCCTGGTGGTGCAGTGGGTTAAAGCACTGATCTCCTGAACGTGCTGAGTGAAAGGTTGCAGGTTCGAATCCGGGGAGCGGCGTGAGCTGCTGCTGTTAGCCCCAGCTTCTGCCAACCTAACCGTTCAAAAACATGCAAATGTGAGTAGATCAATAGGTACCGCTCTGGCGAGAAGGTAACAGCGCTCCATGCAGTCATGTCAGCCACATGACCTTGGAGGTGTCTACCAACAACGCTGGCTCTTCAGCTTAGAAATGGAGATGAGCACCAACCTCCAGAGTCGGACATGACTGGACTTAATGTCAAGGGAAAACCTTTACCTTAGTAATAATACAATAGCAATGATAATAGTAAAAAGTAATGTAATCGTAATAATCATATTAATATTAAAGTAATAATAGTAATATAATAGTAGTAATAACTGATAATAATAATTAGATAGTAATAATAAAATGGTGATGTAATAATATGGTAGTATTGTTATATAATAGTAATAATTTAAGAAGGCTTTTAACTAATGTTTAATCAGGGTTAATGTTTTAAGGTAAAATTTCTGTATGTTGAAGAGGTTTTATATGAAGTATTAATCACTTATATAGAACATGACTTTAAATATATTTTAAACTTTTTATTGTATGTTTTAGATCTGTAAGCTGCCTTGAGTCCACTGTGGAGGAAAACATTAAAATATCACAAATTTAAAAAAAACAAAAAACTCATTAGTTGTAATCTATATAAATAAAAATGTAATATTCGTTTGTGGGATGAACATAACTCAAATACCACTGTACAAATTGACGCTAAATTTGGACACAATACACCTATCAGGCCAACAAGTGACCATCACTCATAAAAACACAGCAGAAGAGAATTTAAAAGCCATAAATGCAAAAAGATGCCACAGCGCATGTGCAAAAACAACTCCCCTCCCCCAGCAAACAAAACACACAATAGCATAGCCACACTCTTTTGGACTACAGCTCCCAGCATCTCCTTTTAGTAGAGGAGGATGATCCAAATGCACTGCTTCCAAGCTGCAAGCATTCTTCTCCTTGGATTTCTTTGAAGGCATCCCAATCCCTGCATATTTCCAATTTCCTGTTCCTGGACTGCAACTCCCAGCAGTCCTCCAGATAGATAAGATAGATAGATTAGATAGAGATAGATAGGTAGGTAGATAGATCAAGCGAACTGCTGGGAGTTGCAGTCCAAGAATAGGTAGAGAAGGAAGAAAGGAGAAAATGAAAGAAAAAAAGGGAAGGAGGGAAAGAAGGAAGGAGATAAATAAAGGAGGAGAGAAAGAGGGAAGAAAGGTTGGCCACAGCAACGTGTGGCGGGTACAGCTAGTAATGTAATAATAATGTTAGTAGTAATAGTTGTCCCCTTGTCTTCCTCATTTTCAAGTTTTGTGGAGGTTTGAATTTATTTAACCTTTACTTTTTTTCTTAAAGGAGAGGTCAAGGCTTCCTTAATCACCCCCCTCCCTCTTAAAACCCAAAGCCATTCAGTGTAAGAGATTCACACATATAAAGAGTTTCCACCTAAGTATTAGGAAGGATTTCCTGATATTCAGAGATGTGGGAAGGTTTGGAATATATGCTGCCGGTTTTTAAACTAAGGCTGGATTACCATCTGCCTGGAGGGCTTTCGTTGTGTCTTTCTGCCTGGCAGAATGGAGTTTGGCTGGATGGTTCTTGGGAGTCTCCTCGAACTTGTGATCTCATAGAGATGCATTGAGGCCTGGGAACACACCTAATGCAGAGTTTAATTGCTTTTCTCTCTTCCCCCTCCAGTTGCTTCCAGGGAGGTCAAGGCGACCAGTGTGAGTGCCTCGGGTGTCCAGTCACATCAAATCTTGGGAGGTAAGTTGGACGGAAAGAAAATAATCGTTGTAATATGTGCCTTCAGAGCATGCCAGTGTCTCCTTCTCTGGAGGATTTTAAACTGTGGTTGGATGGCTATCTTGTAATGAAGTCTTTGGTGGTGTATACCAATGTGGCAAAATGGGGCTGGACCCAACAGCCCCTGGGGTCCCTTCCACCTGATATGTACAGGCAAGCCACCAAGTTACAGACAAGATCAGTCCTGTAGATTTTTTCTTAAGTTGAATTTGTATGTCATTCGGAACAGCGACATTTTTAAAGTGTCACTCCAGCTATCTATCTGTCTGTCTGTCTGTCTGTCTGTCTGTCTATCTATCTATCTATCTATCTATCTATCTATCTATCTATCTATCTTTGGTTCGCATAGGAAATTTATTTATTTATTTATTTACTTACTTACTTACTTCATTTATATACCGCTTTTCTCAGCCCTCAGGAAACTCAAAAGGGCTAACATCCCTGTGGTGTTTGTTTTGCTGTCTGTGCCCCTTTTCAGAATATTCCACTTTACTTTCTGTTCCTGAGATAATTGGATTTTGGGGGGAAATGGCTTGCTGTAGAAACAAGGCTAGGTGAGAAAGCTCCACTAGAGATAATAACTCTTCCAGGAGTGAATCCCTCTCCCTGGGTAGATTTCTCTCACTTCCTGTTGTCTCACCAATGTTCTTAACTTTGAGTTGTTTGTAAGTCAGATATTGTAACTTGGAAACTGCCTGTATAGTCTATATAACCGGCCCAATGCTGGCATTTTGAGTATTGTGGCTACACAGAGGTCTCGCTTTAGCCTCACACCAGAAGCGACTTGCAATTTCTCAAGTAACTCTTGACATGGAAAAAAAGCCTGACATGAACATGGTTAATATGATAGAAAGAAAGGTGGAGGGAAGTAGAATGAGAGAGAAAGCTGCCTTGAGATTGGCTGGGGTTCTTTTCCAAGGTAAGGATACACAGAATTGCACTCCAGCAGAGTTGAAAAACCTGTGCAGGCTTGCTTTGAAAGCAAAGCCCTCAGTGCTCATTACTGAGATTTCCCCCTTGGTAGCAGGTATTAGATTGAAGCCATCACCAGGCTTTATAGAAAATCAGGAGTCTTGAATAATAGTGCATTGTAATAGCTAAGTACAGTGATATAATGCTTTCCTCAAATATCTAGAGATGTGTGTTTGACGTAATAATCTATTCAAACAACCTCAAAGATAGTTTTTTAAATTCCTTGTCTCATACAGAGGATATGAGAAGTGTTACTCTTTAACCTGCATGTGGTAGATAGCTCTGTTCAATATGTTTAGGTTGTAATCCCTGTTGATTTGGTTGATTTGATGTTAGCCGCTCTGGGGTGAGAAGAGTAGGGTAAGCAAACGATCCCAGAGGGTGTTTCTCCCCAATGCTTCCTCTTCATCCTGGAAAGAAGTAACAAGTGGAGTGTCACAAGCAGGGCTCCGTCCTGGGCCCGGTCCTGTTCAACATCTTTATTAATGACTTAGATGAAGGGTTAGAAGGCAGGATCATCAAGTTTGCAGACGACACCAAATTGGGAGGGAGAGCTAATACTCCAGAAGATAGTAGAATTCAAAACAATCTTAACAGATGAGAGAGATGTACCAAAATGAACAAAATGAAGTTCAACAGTGACAAATGCAAAATATTCAACTTAGGCAGAAAAAATGAAATGCAGAGATACAGAATGGGGGATGCATGGTTCAAGAGCATTACGTGTGAAAAAGATCTTGGAGTCCTCGTGGACAACAAGTTAAAGATGAGCCAACAATGTGATGCGGCAGCAAAAAAAGCCAATGGGATGTTGGCCTGCATCAATAGGAGTCTAGTGTCTAGATCCAGGGAAGTCATGCTACCCTTCTATTTGCCTTGGTTAGACCACATCTCAAATATTGTGTTCAATTCTGGGCACCACAATTGAAGAGAGATGTTGACAAGCTGGAATGTGTCCAGAGGAGGGCGATCAAGAGTCTGGAGAAGAAGCCCTATGAGGAGAGGCTTAAAGAGCTGGGCATGTTTAGCCTGAAGAAGAGAAGGCTGAGGAGACATGATAGGAGCTGGATGCGACCCTCCAAGGTCATTTACCCAGCCCTCGCTCAGACAACCTAATTCTGAAATGACTTGAAACCACACAATAAAAACATTCCTGTCTCATCAGCCAAAAGTAGGCCCACACTTCCGACTGAAATACTAATAAGTTTATATTTGTTAAAATTGTTCTTCATTTTGATAGTCATGTATAAGTATGTGAGAGGAAGTCATAGGGAGGAGGGAGCAAGCTTGTTTTCTGGTGGCCTGGAGACTAGGATGTGGAACAATGGCTTCAAACTACAAGAGAGGAGATTCCATCTGAACACTGGAAATTTAGATTTAAATTAACCATTAGGAAGAACTTCCTGACTGTGAGAGCTGTTCTACAGTGGAACTCTCTGCCTCGGAGTGTGGCGGAGGCTCCTCCTTTGGAGGCTTTTAAACAGAGGCTGGGTGGCCATCTATGGGTGGTGCTTTGAATGCAATTTTCCTGCTTCCTGGCAGTGGGTAGGACTGGATGACCCACGAGGTCTTTTCCAACTCTATGATTCTATGATTCTATTTAAAAATGTGTTCTGAAGAGACATTATATCTGAAACGAATTTGGTTCCCATTGTCCACCTCTTCTTATTGTCGTTTTGACCTGGCCCTCTGTTTAAGAAGTTTGAGGACCCCTGATGTAAACGGATGAGGAATTGAACTGGAAGACATTATTTTTATAAATTTTTATAATTTTTATTGTATTTATGGATTTTATATGTATTTATGATGTGACTTAATTTTTTTTAACTGAGATATGTATGTGTACATATATAGCATCTAATTGTTGCCGGTCTGTACGCCGCCCTGAGTCGTCTTCACGCTGAAATGGGCGGGATAAAAATGATGTAAATAAATAACAAATAAATTGCTTCTTTTGAAAGTAAGATTCATCAAGGAAATGGTCTTCTCTCACCTGCCACAGGCCCAATTCCACCACATTTGTGTTCATTTCGAAGTCACTTTTTGATAAGACTTGGTGAAATGGGAAGAGTGCGGCTCAATGTTATTGTTTGTGCTTTTTTATTCTCTGCAGTATTGGCAAGGACTGAGGCAGCATTTCTCAAGCTGTCTTTAAAAATCATGTCTGCCTCAGTTGGACCAAAAAAGGGACCGGGAAGGCAGCGCAAATGTGGCTTCTGCAGGTCCAACCGAGACAGCGAATGTGGACAGCTCTTGCTTTCTGAAAACCATAAGGTGGCAGCACATCATAAATGTATGGTAAGTGCCCTCAAAGGATGCTCCGATGGGAGGAACACTTTCCTGTCAATGGAACTGTAATGGAGAGGAGAGAGGAGAGAGAGGGAATCATAGATGGATGGGCGTGTTTAGTTATTTGTATGCTAATAATCCCCCACAGCTTTCTTTTAGTGTTCTTTTTGTCTTTTCGCTTTGCCCGGCTTATTTGAAAAAGTCAAATTTTTACTTGTAAAAAATGCATAAGTTTGTGGGTGAACTTCAACTCACATCATGCCGGGTTAACCTGAAAAACTCCATCAGTATGTTATGTTGGGCAAGTCTGCTCCAGATTAATCATCGGTGGGGTTCATTGCGTTCAAACTGACTTGAAATTAAATCCTATTGAACTCATAAAACTCATTTCTCAGTTATCACATGCATGCGATGAAGCTCCACATACCTGTTGATTTGATGACGCAAAGCAAAAACACCTGATGTTTGGACATAAAGTGTTTCAAATCAGATTCAGTTGCATTAGGTAGGGCAGCGTTTCTCAAACTGGCAGTTGGAACTCCTGGGGTGTCTCCAAGGGGTATTAGAGGGGTCACCAAAGACCATCAGAAAACACAGTATTTTCTGTAGGTCAAAAGGGTTCTGTGTGGGAAGTTTGGCCCAATTCTATCATTGGTGAGGATCAGAATGCTCTTTGATTGTAGGTGAACTATAAATCCCAGAAACTACAACTCCCAAATTTCAAGGTCTATTTTCTACAAACTCCACCAGTGTTCACAATTGGGCATATTGAGTATTAGTGCCAAGTTTGGTCCAGATCTATCATTGTTTGAGCCCACAGTGCTCTCTGGATGTAGGTGAGCTACAACTCCCAAAATTCAAAAGTCAAGCCCTTCTAGTATTTTCTGTTAGTCATAGGAGTTCTGTGTGCCAAGTTTCGTTCAATTCCATCCTTGGTGATGTTCAGATTGTAGGTGAACTATAAATCCCAGCAACTACAATTCCCAAATGACAAAATCTACCCCCCAACCGCACCAGTATTCAAATTTGGGCATATCGGGTATTTGTGCCAAATTTGGTCCAGTGAATGAAACATCCTGCATATCAGATATTTACATTACGATTTATAACAGGAGCAAAATTACAGTTATGAAGTAGGAACAAAAATCATTTTATGGTTGGGGGTCATCACAACATGAGGAACTGTATTAAGGCGTCCTGGCATTAGGAAGGTTGAGAAACATTGTGGTGGGGGATTCTAGTCCATGAAAGCTTGTGCCCCTGCCAATTTCACAAGCTCGCCTAATAAGTATAAGGGAGAGAGATTTTTCCTCTGTGGCCCTCCGACTCTGGAACTAACTACCTGGAGAAATTAGGAAAGCCCCTACCTTAGAAACCTTTAAAAAGGACCTTAAAACCTGGCTCTTCTGCTGCGCTTTTGATGAATAGGTTTACATTCTCACACTGTTCCTTAGCCTCAACGTTTTGTCATTGGAGTATATGTCCCCGTCCCCCCCTTTGTGGGAAAGCCTGATTCCACAACCCCCCTCCTCCGCAAATAATCTGTCTCTCTCTTATCTCACCTGAGTTTTAATTAGTTTTAATCAGTCTCTCTTTTAATCATTACCTGTAGCCCGCCCATTGTCATTGTGCCTATTGTAATTTTATATTGCTATGTTTTCATATGTTTTATGCAATTATGTTGTTTGTTGTTTATTGTTTGTGTTTTCGGTTTTATTGTATTGTAATTTTCTGTTTGGGCTTGGCCCCATTGGGGAGAGTCCCCATTGGGGAGATGGTGGCGGGGTATAAATAAAGATTATTATTATTATTACTAGCTGTACCTGGCCACGCGTTGCTGTGGCCCATTGTGAAGAAATGGGAAATAAAGAAAAGAGGAAGAGCTGGTTTTTAAGCTATCAATACACAACTGAAGTGGCAAAGTGTCAACCTAATACAGGCCCATTTCAGTCTCCTTGAGGCCAAAGAGTTATATGGATATGTGGAAAGGCCCTGAGTTACTTGAGTCCACAATGCCATATAACCCAGTTCAAAGATATTATATAGGTATTGTTGTTGTTACAGATGTATAGATATTATTATAGGCATATAGATATTCTTATAGACACAAATATTATTAAAGGCATGTAGGTATTATTATTATAGATGTTATTTATTTATTTTGTATCAAAAGCATTGCATAAATTAGTATAAAACTGATTAAAAATAGAAGGAGAACAGGGCTCTGATTGTCATTTTGGCTTGTGGGGGTTAATTCTTTCCGGTTATTTTTTTTTTTTTTTGAGTGAAGGACATAGATTGCTTTAGTCGTCTTGTATTCAAATTTGTTGTCAATTCGTCCAGTGGTTTCTGAGTTCTTTTAATCCCACAAACGAACATTACATTTTTATTTATATAGATGATGATGGTTATTATTGTGCCATCATATATTTACTAGCCTGTAAAGAACTGCAAGATTTATTCAACATTCCATTTGGTGATGAGCACCCTGCCCTTATTTTAGGAAAGCCCTACCAAATTTGATATTATTTTTGTTATGTCTAGCTCTTCTCGTCTGCCTTGGTATCTTCACACTCCGATAATGAGAGCCTTGGAGGTTTTTCCATTGAAGATGTGAAGAACGAGATCAAAAGAGGCACTAAGCTGGTAAGTTGGCATTTCCTTATCTCAATAAAGTGAAATGTGTTGCTCTGTAGGGGGAAAAAATTCTATGCAAATTCTCATCCTTGTATGTCTTGCAACTATCCTACTTGTATGCTGTGCTACTGTAATAGTCTGAATATTGGTCATTGTTCCCCATTCTGAAGGCGCCTGCTTCTGATAGAGCAAGTTTTGGCATATCTTTCATTGAAGTGGCACGCTTCTCCTAAGTATCCTCCTTCTGCATTATAAACATTAGGGACAAATAAGGAAAGAGCAGCATGCAGAAGAGGGAGGCGTAATTCCGCTTTTGTGCTCAGTAGTTATTGTGTAAGCTCTCTTTAATTAGAGGATTCTCTGTATTCTCAACTTCCTGTATTAGACTCAGGCTGAAACTTGTCCTATTTGCAGTGTCCTTGCTGTTGTTCATATGCATCTTGTGTTGCACATTGTCCTGCGTTTAATTGGTTTTATCATTTTATTAATCTGTTTGCAATTGTGTACCTTTTACGGATGAGCTAAATGGGTCTTTGGACTGTAATACAGTTTGTTTGATTCTTTCCAAGCTCTTGCATCTTAAAATGGAACTTTTGCATCCAAGTATACTTCTTCAAGACACCACATTACGTTGATAGTAATTTTGCTGTATACAAATCTGTTTTGTCTTGGTTCACTTTAATTGGGTATGCCAATTTTTTGTTGTGGAGCTTCTGCAGATACTTTTCATGAAAGATGTGTTTCGATGGAATATTGTGTCCAATTCTGGTCACCACAATTCAAGAGAGATATTGACAAACTGGAATGTGTCCAGAGGAAGGCGACTAAAATGATCAAGGGTCTGGAGAACAAGCCCTATGAAGAGCGGCTTAAAGAGCTCGGCATGTTTAGCCTGAAGAAGAGAAGGCTGAGAGGAGACATGATAGCCATGTATAAATATGTGAGAGGAAGTCACAGGGAGGAGGGAGCAAGCTTGTTTTCTGCTTCCCTGGAGACTAGGACATGGAACAATGGCTTCAAACTACAAGAGAGGAAATTCCATCTGAACATTAGGAAGAATTTCCTGACTGGGAGAGCTGTTGAGCAGTGGAACTCTCTGCCCCGGAGTGTGGTGGAGGCTCCTTCTTTGGAGGCTTTTAAACAGAGGCTGGATGGTCAGCTGTTGGGGGTGCTTTGAATGCAATATTCCTGCTTCTTGGCAGGGGTTGGACTGGATGGCTCATGAGGTCTCTTCCAACTCTATGATTCTATGATGTCCAACCATCTAGCATGGTTTCCTCTGACTGGCAGAGGAAGCCCCAAAGTCTCACTTTTGGAAGATATGCTTTTAAAATGGGAAGCAGCAAGGAGAAGTAGCCCTTCCTTATTTGCAGACCTTAAATTCTCAATTTATTTGGGTTTATAAATTGCTGTGATTTAGTTAGCTGCAGCTGGACTCTAGCAATTATTGATTTCACAGGCTTTTGGCCTTTGAAGTTCCTGTTTCTCCATTTCTGAACTTCAGTGGGTTCCCCTCCCATCTGTTTGTTCATCTCTCTTATTTTTAAAAATTGCCTTCCTTAGTATAATAATTGTATATTATATATTAACTATCCCCTGCCATGCGTGGCCCACATGGGGGTTCTGTGTGAGAGGTTTGGCCCAATTCTATCGTTGGTGGGGTTTAGAATGCTTTTTGATTGTAGGTGAACTATAAATCCCAGCAACTACAACTCCCAAATGTCAAGATTCTATTTCCCCCAAACTCCACCAGTGTTCACATTTGGGCATATTGAGTATTCTTGTAGAGTTTGGTCCAGATCCATCATTGATTGAGTCCACAGTGATCTCTGGATGTAGGTGAACTACAACTCCAAAACCAAAGGACACTGCCCACCAAACCCTTCCAATATTTTCTGTTGGTCATGGGAGAACTGTGTGCCAAGTTTGGTTCAATTCTGTGTGCCAAGTTTGGTTCAATTCCATCGTTGGTGGAGTTCAGAATGCTCTTTGATTGTAAGTAAACTATAAATCCCAGCAACTACAACTCCCAAATGACAAAATCTAATTTTTTTGAGTGAAGGACATACATTGGGTTGTTAGGTGTCTTGTGTCCAAATTCGGTGTCAATTCGTCCAGTGGTTTTTGAGTTCTGTTAATCCCACAAACATTACATTTTTATTTATATAGATTACATGTAATATTTCTAATAAAATTGCAGTATAGGGTATAGTACAGTATAGTAATAGGTAATAGGGCTGGGCGGTTTCGTTTCGTTAATTCGTAATTCGTTAAAAATTCGTTAATTTTTTATAACGAAGCGATAACGAACCATTCTGGGGCAACTTAAAAACGAAACGAATTTTTAAATACGTTTTGTAAATGCTTCGTATTTCGTTATGTATTCGTTTCGTTATTGGTTTGAGGTCGTTTCGTTATTATTTCCGCATGTCTGGGGCAAGTTTTATAGTTGTTTTTTGTTTAATTAGTGAAAAAAAAATTATAATATCACACCAACAGTCAACAACAGAGGGAGAGGGAAGCTTCAGAAGATTTTTTAGCGTATTGCGCGATCGCGGCCGCCATTAACGAATCGATTAGTTATTGTTTCGTTATTGTTTTGTAAATTTTTTTTACCATTTACGAAATTTCGTAAATATCAAACTTTTTTAAAGGAAAATTTTGTAATTATTTTAAATAACGAAACGCAACCCCCCCCCCCCCAAACGAATCGATTTTAGAAACAAATTTTTCCGTTGTTACCCAGGCCTAATAGGTAATACTGATGTACTATTCTAATAATATAGTATACTGTATGTACATATAATATTGATCATAATATTACAATGTAGTACAATATACTTTTAATAATACAACATAGTAGTTATATATTCCTTGTACTTACCATATTGCAGTATAGAATATAGTACAATATACGAAGGTAGGGACCCGCCTACCTTCGTGACCGTATCTCCCTCAATGAACCACCTCGGGCCCTCTCGGGAGGCCCTGGTCTCGCCACTGCCAGTGTCACAAGCTCGCTTGGTAAGTACAAGGGAGATAGTTTTTTCCGCTGTGGCTCCCCAAGAAATTAGGAAAGCCCCTTCTCTAGAAGTTTTTAAAGAGAACCTTAAAACCTGGCTCTTCCGCTGCGCCTTTGATGAGTAGGTATACAGTTTCACATGACTGTTTAGCCTCAAAGTTCTGTCATTGGAGTAGACGTCCCCCCCTCGTGGGAAACTACAAGAGAGGAGATTCCATCTGAACATGAGGAAGAACTTCATGACTGAGAGCCGTTTAGCAGTGGAACTCACTGCCCCGGAGTGTGGTGGAGGCTTCTTCTTTGAAAGCTTTTAAACAGAGGCTGGATGGCCATCTGTCAGGGGTGATTTGAATGCAATATTTCTGCTTCTTGGCAGGGGGTTGGATGGCCCATGAGGTCTCTTCCAATTCTATGATTCCATGTTTCTATGAAAGCTTGATTCCACAACCCCCGCCATAATGAGCCCTCCTCCGCAAATTATCTGCTTCTCTCTTTTATCTCGTCTGAGTTTTTAATTAGTTTTAACCAGTTTGTCTTTTAATCATTACATGTAGCCCACCCATTGTCACTGTGCCTGTGTCTATTGTAATTTTTACATTGTTATGTATCCACATGTTTTATGTAATTATGATGTTATTGTTTATTGTTCGCGTTTTCGGTTGTGTCTTGGTTTTCTTTATTGTAATTGTTGTTCGTGTTTGGCCTCATGTAAGCCACCCCCGAGTCCCCATTGGGGAGATGGTGGTGGGGTATAAATAAAGATTATTATTATTATTATTATTATTATTATTATTATTATTATATGATACTAATATTGTGGTATTTATTTATTTATTTATTTACAGCTTTTATATTCCGCCTTCTCACCATGCAGGGGACTCAGGGCGGATTACAGTGTACACATATATGGCAAATATTCAATGCCAATTTTTGACATACAACATATACAGACATAGACAGAGGCTATTTAACTTTTTCTGGCCGTCAAGGGAGCTGTCGCTTTCATCTTCCATCTGTGACACTGATGAAGTACTTCCACATTCCCCGCATGCTTTTTGCTGGAGTGCTTGCTAGAGTCTTTTTTATGGCCTCATAAATCAGTTAATTTAGCCTCCCCACACTTTAAGGTGGTCCCTAATTTTCCTACTTGACAGATGCAACTGTCTTTCGGGTTGCAAAGGTCGACAACAGGCTACACAATTGGTTGGAAACCCACTCCAACCCGGGCTGGCTAATAATATAATATATTGTATTTACATATAATTTGTAAGCTGCTCTGAGTCCCCTTCAGGGAGAGAGCGGGCGGGTTATAAAAATAGTAAATAAATAAATGAGTCAGAAATCCTAATTTTGTCTCTTTTCTCTCTCTCCCCTCTCCCTTTCTTTCAGAAATGCTCTTTTTGCCATTGTCCCGGAGCAACCATCGGTTGTGATGTCAACACCTGCCATAAGACATATCATTATTACTGTGCATTGCACGATAAAGCTCAGATCCGGGAGAAACCTTCCCAAGGCATTTACATGTAATTACCTTTTAGATTTCTCATTCCTTAAAATATGTGGGAAAGATACTGTTTTGTTTGAAAAGAAATTCTGAAAAGTAGACTTTGTCAAGGCGATTGTATTAGACTTGTATTTGGATCAGGAAATATGTAAAGTGTCGAACACCAGAGCAGGAACACCTCTGACCTTAAACACCACACCGGCTTGGTAAATCAGCAAGCAGTTTACTGTAGAATATATGTAGGCAAAGCAGTAAAATTATCAAAATAAGTAAAGTTCCCAAAACTTCTCATTAACTTCTGCACCTAACAAATGATCTTCAGGCGGTTGCTCTGAGAAAGACTGTGAAAGGCCTCTCCCAGGAATGTGACCTTGTGAATCTTCTTAAGACAGCTCAAGCCTCTTGTCTGAGCTTAACTCAGGCCCAGGCAAACCCTTATCCCCATTGCCAACAGACTCAGGCCCACCATCAGGAACATCATCCCCATTCCCATCATGGACATCAGACACAGGCTGACATACAACATAAAGTGAATTTCACAAAGTTTAGAATGGGTTAAGAGAAAAGAGGAGGGAGGAAAAAGGCACAAGAAAAGGAGTAAAGGAATTTGAGATAGCTAAAAGTTACTAAAGTCTTGTTAAGGAGAAGTGTGTAGAAGATCAAGAAGGGTCAAGTTGACCTGACAGAAGAGATGGGGGTGGGGGTGGGGGGAAGAGAATGAGCAGAAATGATTACAGAAAAAAAAGAAATCAAAGGAATGTTTACAGAACAGAAGAGATACAGAGGCATCAGAGTTAGAGATGTAAAATTACAGACAGGCAGAAAGAAAGGAAAAGGATTGTTTGATTTCTTAGCGTGCATGTATGTGCGTGTTCTCATCAATAGGGGCTATAAAACCCATTATCCACAGACAGTCAAACATGGCAGTTTTTCTTGACGCTTATCTTGGCTTGCTTGATCGGAAGACCACCCCTTAGTTATGCTGTAGAATTAAAATGTTGCATTTTGATCTGGATTCCTAGTCTTAATTGGGAAGTAAAAAGGACTGGAAATACTAAGGAGCACAGGGCATCAACACTAGGTTGTGACCAGGTGGAAAATGTAAGTGTCATGGCTGACTTTGTGATGATCTATCCCTAGGATATTATGTCGAAAACACAAGAAAGCGCCACACAACTCTGAAGGTAATAATTTGTGACATTTATATTGGGGAGTGGGATTGACTGTCATAAATTACTGTATATACTCGAGTATAAGCCTAGTTTTTCAGTCCTTTTTTTAGGCTGAAAAAGTCTCCCCCGGCTTATACTCAAGACAATATTAATTATTTTACTTTGTTGTTGTTATTATTATTATTATTATTATTATTACATTTATTATTTTATTATTGTTGTTATTATTACATTCATTATTTAACTCTATTATTGTTATTACATTTATTATTATTATTTTACTCTATTATTATTGGAGGATATGTAAGCATATTTGCATTGAAGAAGGTTAGAATAATAAGGTTTAATCAGAGTTGGACAGTCTTATCTTAAATTACAGTTTTATGTAAATATTCAAAAACATTTAACCTACTGATGCCTAAATTAATATAATTTTATTGGAATCTATTTTTATTTTGAAATTTACCAGTAGCTGCTCCATTTTCCACCCTCAGCTTATACTCGAGTCAATACATTTTCCTAGTTTTTTGTGGCAAAATTAGATGTCTCGGCTTATATTTGGGTCGGCTTATACTCGAGTATATACGGTAGGTTTGTCTGCTTATATTGTTAGCAAGAGGAACTCTCCAGCATTTTCTGAGGAAATGTTTGGGGTTTTGACGCCATCTCCCTCCCGCCCTTGTATCCTTTCTCTCCCAGCAGATCTAGAAGAAAGTCAAAATGAGCACGAGTTAGAAGCGTCTCCCCCTAAAAAGAGGGGGCGCAAAGGGAGGCCCCGGAAGACGTCCCTCCAGGGGCAGACGGAAGACGCACGGTCCACGTCGTTGCATGGCACGGATGACGTAGAAAGCAGCTCCTACGTAAGCAACCCATCGCCGCGGGGCAACAGTCTCTATTTCTATGTGGTCCTCCGATTCAACCACGGGCGTTGATTTGGGTTTCTGTATTAAGAAAGTGTTTCTCTTTCAGAGAGACAGATCGCCTCACAGAAGCGTCCCCAACGACACAAAACCTAAGTGTGGGTTCTGTCACGCAGGTGACGAAGAGAACGAAGCTCGAGGGAAGCTTCATATATTCAATGCCAAAAAGGCAGCTGCACATTACAAGTGTATGGTGAGCACCTCCTCCTTTGATCAGTTGGGTTCTGGTGGGGTCTAGTATTTGTTGGGCGTGTGGGCTTATTAAAAAAGACCCTCCTCATAAATGTACAGTAGAGTACATTTCGCAGCAACGTGACCCAACACCAGTATTTATTTGTCGTGTCAGGGCAACCAGTCAATTATATTACATTTCTAACAGAACAAAGCAAACAAACAGACAAAATACAAAATTTGTGAGTTTGGTAGTTGATTAAATGTCCTTTGACCAGTATCTGGCCACTTGGAGTGCTTCTGGTGTTGCTGCAAGAAGGTCCTCCATTGTGCATGTGGCAGGGCTCAGGTTGCATTGCAGCAGGTGGTCAGTGGTTTGCTCCTCTCCACATTTGCATGTCGAGGATTCCACTTTGTAGCCCCATTTCTGAAGTTTGGCTCTGCATCTCGTGGTGCCAGAGCGCAGTCTGTTCAGCACCTTCCAAGTCGCCCAGTCCTCTGTGTGCCCAGTGGGGGGGTCTCTCATTTGGTATCAGCCATTGGTTGAGGTTCTGGGTTTGAGCCTGCCTCTTTTGGACTCTCGCTTGCTGAGGTGTTCCAGCTAGTTTCTCTGTAGATCTTAGAAAACTATGTCTAGATTTAAGTCGTTGACGTGCTGGCTGATACCCAAACGGGATGAGCTGGAGATGTCTCTGCCTTGGTCCAACACCAGTAGCCCAAAGTGATAAAAATAACAAAAACACACCAATGTTATCTCTTCTTTAGTAGGTATTTTCTTTGTAGCAAAATAACACTGTTGCACTATTTACAACAACAAGGTTTCCATAAAACAAATAATATTATTTATACTTCCTTCTTTGCTTCCACGCTGGGCTTCTTTCTCCCTCGCTCACTCAGAGCCTGTTCTCACACTAAACTTACACAGGAGCTTCACAGAGTAGCCTTTTATACACAAGCTTCACAGAGTAGCTTTAACCCGGGCCTTCTCTCACCAAAGTTTCTCACACCAGGCCTTTTCATACTGAGGCCTTCTAACACTGAGGGCTCTTAAACTGACACCTACCCCAGACTTAAGCTTCTCACACTGAGGGCTGTTTCTGACTGAAACGAACTAACACTGAGGCCTTCTCTTACTGAGGCCTACAAACACACAGGCCTCTTACAGACTGAGGCCTACTAAGCTACAGGCACACCTGCTTATATTGAACTGCAGCTTTTGCTGAGTCATTGCATCCATTGGAGCCCCCGGTGGCGCAGTGGGTTAAACCCCTGTGCTGACAGGACTGAAGACCGACAGGTCACAGGTTCAAATCTGGGGAGAGGCAGATGAGCTCCCTCTATCAGCTCCAGCTCCTCATGCGGGGACATGAGAGAAGCCTCCCACAAGGATGATAAAAACATCAAATCATGTGGGCGTCCCCTGGGCAACGTCCTCGGAGACGGCCAATTCTCTCACACCAGAAGCGACTTGCAGTTTTTCAAGTCGCTCCTGACACGACCAAAAAAAAAATGCATCTATTTAACTCTTTCAGTGCTTGACACATTTTTAATATAAAATACCTAGTTAATTTTTTAATACTTCTGATAGTATTGCTTATTGATTTCATAGAAGCGAAGGGGGCAGCTCCATCTCCGGATTTCTTGATCTGCACTGCTCCATCTTTGTTTCATGCCCATCTTTGAAGGTGTAGCTGGCTGGAGTTTTCCACTTCCTCATGCTCTCTCTGCCTTTCCTCTCTCCCTAGTTGTTCTCTTCTGGCACCGTACAATTGACGACAACATCGAGGGCAGAGTTTGGTGATTTCGATATTAAAACTGTACTTCAAGAAATCAAACGAGGGAAAAGAATGGTATGACTTTCTTGCTGGAACCTTAGATAACATTTTTTATCCTGGCTTTCATCTAAAGTGCTGATGGCTGCCTGTCATTCCCTGCTGTCATTCCAGCAGAAGGCTAAAACCTTTTTATTCAGGCAGGCATTTAAAGAAGGTTTTAAAAATCAAGCCAGGTGCTTCTGTGGGTTTAGCTTCGAATTGGTTTTTATCGATTGCAAGCATTTTAACTTTATTTTAAAAACTGTTAATATTTCATTGTATTTTAATATTTGTAAAATTTTATGTTTTAGATTGCATTGTGTTGGTTTTACTGCAAGCCGTTTGAGTCTCTCTTTTTTTTTGAGAGACAAAGCAGGATAAATCTATATAAATAAAAATGTAATGTTCGTTTGTGGGATTAACAGAACTCAAAAACCACTGGACGAATTGACACCAAATTATTATAATAAATATAATAATTACAATAAATATTCCACTTTCCTCTCTTAAAAGATAATAATAATTATAATAATCATCATCATCTATATAAATAAAAATGTAATGTTCGTTTGTAGGATTAACATAACTCATAAACCACTAGATGAATTGACACCAAATTTGGAAACAAGACACTTAACAACCCAATGTATGTCCTTCACTCAAAAAAATTGATTTTGTCATTTGGGAGTTGTAGTTGCTGGGATTTATAATTCACCTACAATCAAAGAGCATTGTGAACCCCATCAACGATGGAATTGAACCAAACTTGGCACACAGTTCTCCCATGTCCAACAGAAAATACTGGAAGGGTTTGGTGGGCAGTGTCCTTTGGTTTTGGAGTTGTAGTTCACCTACATCCAGAGATCACTGTGGACTCAAACAATGATGGATCTGGACCAAACTCTACACAAATACTCAATATGCCCAAATGTGAACACTGGCGGAGTTTGGGGAAAATAGAATCTTGACATTTGGGAGTTGTGATTGCTGGGATTTATAGTTCACCCACAATCACAGAGCATTCTGAACCCCACCAACGATAGAATTGGGCCAAACCTCCCACACAGAACCCCCATGTGGGCCACAGCAACGTGTGGTAGGGGGCAGCTAGTATATAAATAAAAATGTAATGTTCGTTTGTGGGATTAACATAACTCAAAAACCACTGGACAAATTGACACCAAATTTGGACACAACACACCTCTCAGGTCAACAAGTGACCATCACTCATAAAAACACTGAAAAACACAACAGAAGAGACTTAACAGGCCAAAAAACAAAAAAAATGCATGCATTACAACGCATGTGCAAAACCACATATATACGCAAACACGCATATATACACACACGAAACAAATATATACACACATACACACACATATATACACACACAAATCACATATACACAGACTGGGCCACAGCAATCCGTGGCAGGAAAGGCTAGTATAATAATAAATTCTCACTCGAGGAGGCTGTTTGAATGGACACAGGACCCTGTATGATGAAAGAGAGACATAAAATAGACCTCTGCGGTTTAAGTGCCACACATTAGTCATAGCACAATATATTTGCTTGTGTAGCTTTTGATCAACTGAAAAATTGTGTTGTCGAAGGCTTTCATGACCGGAATCACTGGATTGCTGTGAGTTTTCTGGGCTGTATGAACATTTTCCAGAAGCATAATCTTCTGACGTTTCACCCACATTTATGGCAGGCATCCTCAGAGGTTGTGAGGTCTGTTGTAAACTAAACAAGTGAAGTTTATATATCTGTAGAATAATGTCCAGGGTGGGAGAAAGAACTCTTGTCTGTTGGAGGCAAGTGTGAATGTTGCAATTAAACACCTTGATTAGCATTGCAAAGCCTGGCTGCTTCTTCCCTGAAGGGAATCCTTTGTTGGGACATGTACCAGACATAGGCCATGTCATCAAATAATATACAACCTTTAAAAGTACAGTAAGCCGTTTCCAATATAAATATTAAAACTTATTCCCTATACTGGCTCTTTAAAATTATAGTAGCAGCGTCATGATAACAAATGTCTGAGGAAATGTTTGTGAGAATAAGCGACCAAAAATAGCAAAGCAGTTTGGCCTCTTTCACAGCACCGTGAGGCCTGGTCTCCTCTGGATCTCTCTTGGCTAATTCAGTCCTCATGTCAACAAACGGTTTGCAGGAAGAGTTGTCAGAAAAACGAGAAATTAAATGTGAAGTAGGAAGATGCGGATTGGAAACATAGTTCATGCAATTTGACAGCGGCCTGTCTCTCCCTTCCTCTTTGTGACAGAAGTGTACGCTTTGCAGTCAGTCTGGAGCCACCATTGGATGCGAGATTAAGGCCTGCATCAAGACTTATCATTACCACTGTGGAGTACAAGACAAAGCGAAGTACATTGAGAATATGTCGCGAGGGATTTACAAGTAAGTACCTCCCATTGTCTCTCTTTGTGAGAGAGAGATATGATGAATCCATTGTAGTGAGAGCTTTATATCTCCAAGAGATTGGTTCGATTGGGGTTTTGAAGCCCACTTGCACCAGTCTATAGGTCTTCTATACACATGCATATGTACCTTATTTACTCAAATCTAATGCTCAGCTTTTTTGGATAAATTACCTCACCAGAATTAGGGTGTGTGTTAGATTTGCGTAATACAGCCATCTTAGTGCTGAGCCGAAGCAAAAGGGGAAGCTGCTTCAGGAGCTGCACCTGGAGCTCCTATTTAAGGGGCACCCTCTCTCATTTAATTACCAGGGCTCAATACTATGGGATCCTGGGATTTGTAGTTTGGTGAGGCATCAACACCCTTTGGCAGTGAAGGCTCAAAGCCTTGTCAAACTACAGTCCCCATGATCCCAAAGCATTCATTCTGCAGCATAGATTCAAACCAAGGTTTCCCTTAGAACAGTGTTTCTCAACCTGGGGATCGGGACCCCTGGGGGGGTCGCGAGGGGGATTCAGAGGAGTCACCAAAGACCATCAGAAAACACATATTTCTGATGGATTTAGGAACCCACTTGACACAGTCTTTTGGGTTTACAGTGCTCTCTGGATGTAGGTGAACTATATCTCCACTAAACCAATGTCAGTTCACCCAAATCCCTCCAGTATTTTCTGTTGATCATGGAGGTTCTATGTGGGAAGTTTGGCCCAATTCTGTTGTTGTTGGGGTTCAGAATGCTCTTTGATTGTAGGTGAACTATAAATCCCAGCAACAACAACTTCCAAATGTCAAAGTCTGTCTTCCCCAAACTCCACCAGTGTTCACATTTGGGCATATTGAGTATCTGTGCCGGGTTTGGTCCAGATCCATCACTGTTTGAGTCCACAGTGCTCTCTGGATATAGGTGAACTACAACTCCAAAACTCAAGGTCAATGCTCACCAAACCCTTCCCATATTTTATGTTGGTCATGAGAGTTCTGTTTGTCAAGTTTGGTTCAATTCCATCGTTGGTCGAGTTCAGAATGCTCTTTAATAGTAGGTTAACTATCAATCTCAGCAACTACAACTCCCAAATGATAAATCCAATCCCTCCCAACCCCACCAGTATTCAAATTTGGGCCTATTTGGTATTTGGGCCAAATTTGGTCCAGTGAATGAAAATACATCCTCCATATCAGATATTTACATGACGATTCATAACAGGAGCAAAATTACAGTTATAAAGTAGCACCAAAAATATGCTTGCGGGTCACTACAACATGAGGAATTTTATTAAGGGCATTAGGAAAGTTGAGAACCACTGCCTTGGAAGAGACCTCATGGGTCATCCAGTCCAAGAAACAGGAAAATCACATTCACTTGCTGGAAGTTTTGGAGTTCTAACACTTTAGTTTTTAATGAAGGAATCCTAAATATGCAGCAATTGCAGTGAGCACCTTTTGGAAGCAAATACATTTTTTGGTTTCAGGGCTTTGATAATAGAGTTGCGCATTAGAGTCGGTGGCACATGAGACTCAAGTCAAGACAGTATAACTTGCAGTGTCTTTGCATTGCTTGTAGGCTTTACTGTAAAAACCACAGTGGGAACGACGAGCGCGACGAAGAGGATGAGGAGCGAGAAAGCAAGAGCCGCGAAAAATCAGTGGCGGACCTTGGCAGCGTTCCCCAGCAGCAGCTGAATGGAAACTAGGTACGGATGCCATCTCCTTCCGGCTCTTCTTTTGAGAATAACACTGTGTACAATTGATGTTGTTATTAATGAGTTGTCATTGTACACTGAAGTTATGCCACTGTGGCAGAGGGTCACGCTTTCCTTCACACCGGAGTACGACTGCATAATAACTAGGGATGTTTGCAAGATTCTGCTGCCAATAAACATCGCTATCGCAGTCAATTTGGCTTATGCTTTCCTCTTTAATTCCCAACTGTTTTAAAGAAGGATGTCTTGAAGTTCATGTTGGCAGTGCTGTGCTTCTAAGCTACATTAATAGGTTTTTAATTGGCTTAAAGGGTTTTAACTATTTTTAATACTGTTCATGATGAATTCTATTTTAGTGTTTGTATATTTATAGGTTTAAATTGTATTTTCTTGGTTTTATTGTGAGCTGCTTTGAGAGATAAGCAGGATGCAAATATTTATGTCAGAAGCAAGTTGAGGGTACAGTTAAATGCATTTAAAACACAATTTTAAAAAAAGAACTTGGTGTTATGCTAAATGTCCTTTGTCCAGAAGCTGGACACGTGAAGTGCCTCTGGTGTCGCTATAAGAAAGTCCTGTGCATGTGGCAGGGCTCAGGTTGCATTGTAGTAGATGGTCTGTGGTTTGCTCTTCTCCACACTCGCATGTTGCGGACTCCCACTTTATTGCCCCATTTCTTAAGGTTGGCTTTGCATCTTGTGGTGCCAGAGAACAGCCTGCTCAGCGCCTTGCAAGTCGCCCACTCATTTGTGTTCTCATCCACTCTCAGCCACTAATTGAAGTGCTGGGTTTGAGCCTGCCAGTTTTGGACTTGATTGCTGAGGAGTTCCTGCGAGTATCTCTGTAGATCTTAGGAAGCTGTTTCTTATTTAAGGTGTTGGTTTGTTGCGTGATATCCGAACAGAGGATGGGCCGGAGACGTCAATGCCTTGGTCCTTTCATTGCTGCCTGCTATTTCCTGATGAATGTCAGGTGGTGTGATACCAGCTAAACAGTGTAATTTCTCCAGTGGTGTGGGGTTTAGACTTCCTGTGATAATGCAGCATGTCTCATTAAGAGTCACACCCACTGTTTTAACATGGTGAGATGTCTTCCACACTGGGCATGCATACTCAGCAGCAGAGTAACAAAACACAAGGGCACGTGTCTGGTTGTGATCCCCAGGTTGTGCCAGTCAGCTTTCGTGCAATATTATTTCTAGCACCCACTTTTTGCTTGATATTCAGGCAGTGCTTCTTGTAAGCCAGAGCACCATCCAAAGTGACTTCCAGATGTTTGGGTGCGCTGCAATGCTCCAGTGGGATTCCTTCCCAGGTCATCCTCAGAGCTCGGGATGCTTTTCTGTTCTTAAGGTGAAAAGCACACATCTGGGTTTTAGATGGATTAGGAATCAGCTGGTTTTCCCTCTAATAGGCAGTAAGAGCAAGCAGTGCTTCTTGTAGGTCAGAGCACCATCCAGAGTGACTTCCAGATGTTTGGGTGTGCTGCAATGCTCCAGTGGGATTCCTTCCCAGGTAATCCTCATAGCTTAAGATGCTTGTCTGTTCTTAAGATGAAAAGCACACGTCTGGGTTTTAGATGGATTAGGAATCAGCTGATTTTCCCTGTAATAGGCAGTAAGAGCACCTGAAGCTTCCAAAAGCTTCTGTTCGACCATTTCAAAGCTCCCTGCTTGGGCGGTAATGGCATGATTGTCAGCATAGATGCTCTCTGTCCCTTCTGGCAGTGGCTGGTCATTTGTGTAAATGTTGAACATTGATGGTGCAAGCACGCTCCCCTGAGGCAGGTCGTTCTTCTGTTTCCGCCATCTGCTTCTCTGGCCCTGGAACTCAACAAAAAAGCTCCTGTTTTGTAGCAGATTTCCTATGAAGTGGGTGAGGTGGTAGTCCTTTGTGATGTTATAAATTTTTCTCAGAAGAAAGTGATGGGGATACAAATAAAGGTATAACAATAAGGATTTAAAAGGTTTTCACTGTTTATTTTTCATACTTCATGCTTCATTCGATTTTAATGAAGTTAAATCTAGTTTTAATTTTAATGAAGTTAATCTAGGATTGTCTGCGCGCCCCATCCCTCTCCGAAAACTCTGTCCTAGTCATATTTCACCTGTTCATGCTCAGCATTATTTTTATAATTTTATTTATTACATTTGGCCCAACCATAGGTTTTTAACCGTTGTTGTGTTACTGTTAATGTTTATTGCTTATTTTTTGTTATGAGTTTTATTTTAATGTTTGTATTACTGTTGCTCTTGCTTTATTACTGATGCATTGTGGGCTCAGCCTCATGTAAGCAGCACCGAGTCCCTTGGGAGATGGTAGCGGGGTATAAATAAAGTATTATTATTATTATTAGTCTCTTTTGATTCCTTAAATTGTGTTGGTGTTTTTGCGAGCCACTTGGAGCCTATTTTTAGAGAGATAAAGTGGAATACAAATAATGACAATAACAACAACAATAATATGAAACCTATCCTTTGTCCAGAAGCTTGGCCACGGTGGTCCATGCTCTGGTTACATCCTGTATAGACTACTGCAACGCTCTCTACATGGGGTTGCCTCTGAAGACTGCCCGGAAGCTGCAATTAGTCCAACGAGTGACAGCCAGATTACTAACAGGAGCGGGGTACATGGAGCATACTACTCCTCTGTTGCGCCAGCTCCACTGGCTGCCAATTAGCTTCCGAGCACAATTCAAAGTGCTGGTGTTGACCTATAAATCCCTAAACGACTCCGGCCCAGTTTACCTGTCCGAACAGATTCTCTCCTATGAACCATCAAGGTCGTTAAGATCTTCTGGAGGGGCCCTGCTCTCGGTCCCACCACCTTCGCAATCGCGTGTGGTGGGGACGAGGGACAGGGCCTTCTCGGTGGTGGCCCCTCGGCTCTGGAACTCTCTCCCATTGGAGATTAGAACTGCCCCTTCCCTCCTGACCTTTAGAAAGTTGGTGAAAACCTGGCTTTGGAATCTGGCATTTGATGAGTGAGGCAATGGTTTTTGACAACACGGACGGATGAGGATGAATAGTGATTTTTATGCTAACGACATGGCTTTATATAATTATATGATAGTACCTGAATGTGTTTATATTAGTGTATTATTGATGTGACTTTTTAAACTATTGTGTAAGAACCCCCTTGTAAACCGGCCTGAGTCCCTCGTTGGAGATGAGAAGAACGGTATATAAAAGTTCTAAATAAATAATAAAATCCCTTTTTCTCTCCCCCCCCCCCCCTTTTAATCTTTCATTCAGGTTCAAGCGACATGGTTGAAACTGGGAATAAGACATCCAAAACTACTAACCTTTCTCGGTTTATTCCCCAACAACAACAACGACAACAACAAAATACTTTATAAAAACAGAATGGGGTTAGTAAGGGTTTTTTTGGGGTTTTTTTACGACCGGCCTGTTAGAAATGTCACGGACCTGCCTGAAACGTTCCTGTGTGAGTGAGCCTTTGGTGAGCAGCAGAGGTTCTCCCCCCCCCCCCCCCCTTTTATAATTAAACCTGTTGATATTATGTAGTTAGTCTGCAGAGAGAGAGAGAGAGAAAGATAAACATAGGAAGGTCTGCAAAACAGATCCTTGTGCAACCGAGACGGAGGCAAGGCAAACAGCTTGACTCTTCTTTGGGAAACGACAGGCGCTGGAAAGGTTTGGACAGACAATCGGGGAGAGAGTTGCTCTGCTCCTGGACTCTGCTTTGGGCTCTTCCCATTATGGACGCCTCGCATCCAAAGCCAGAGACCTCAAGCTGCCATTGACTTTGAGCTGCGATCTTCAGCACTCAACGTCAAAGGGTTGTAGTTTGTTCCTTTCTGTTCCGTATGGGAAACATGCTTCCGTTGGCATACTCCAGCGGCCTTTTCCTGTTTTCTCGCCTTTTTCACTTTCAACTGAAGGATGCTGCCGCATTTGGAAACTGCATTATATTCCCCCATTTATATCTCCCTCTGGAATTTAGCCACCTTTCTTGGGACATCATACCTCAAATGCCCTGTGCTGTGTGGGAACACATCATGTTTTTCTCCAAATACACACACACACACACACAGATCCTGTATGCTGTAAGGAAGAATACAGAATGAGACTCTGGATATGTACTGTTTTTCAAAGAGGTCAATATTTATTTGAAGCCTTGCGGACCACTAGACGGGAATGTTTTTGAGGATTTGAAGAAGGTTGCAATGCCAACCCAACACTCTCCTCGGAGCTGGATTCGCTTAAAATGATGCCAAGTCTTAATAATCCCTGGATTCCTGGTCCTCTGTTCCATGGGTTTTTCCCTGCCTATACTTCGCAAATTTCTTCTCTCTTGGATTTGGAGGCCTAGCAGCATCGGAAGGACAATCGGAGAAGATTCCTTTGCAGTTGAATAAAGGAATAAAAAGAAAATTGCCTTTTTCGCGACAATGTTCAAGATTTCTGGAACCTTGTTTTGTTTTTCTCCACTTTTCTTTCTTTTCTTTTTTTTTTGTCGTATTGAGGGACTCGACTCTTGTGTATAAAGACTCCAAAAAAGGAGGACTCTTGGACTTCGATCCCATTCAGGTTTGGAAAACGTTCCTGGAAGAATGCCGTTTTAGTAGGAAAGTTGTGTATAAAGGAAATTAAACAATAAATCTGTTAACTTACTCTTACACCATCGACGGATTTTTATTTTATTTTGTACTAGCTGTACCCGCCACACGTTGCTGTGGCCAACCTTCCCTCGCTCTTTGTCTCCTTTCTTTGAGGGAAGATGTCGTGCATGCACACATACACACACGCATACACATATGGGTGTGGATAATATGGTAATGTCTATGTTGAAAGGGAGTTGTGGAGAATACTTACATGGATGTTAATTTTACTATATTTCCTCAACTCTCCCCTCAAATACATACAGTCATGCGGGAAATAAGTGGCTCTGCTGGAGTGCATGTCTTGAGGGGTTATTGTGGGGATGATCTTGCATGTGCATTAATTCCACTATATTTTCACAACTCCACACTCCCATATTCACTCACTATTGCTCTGCCAACATGTGTATGTTGCCAAGTTGTAAAAGATAGATAGAATGATTTTCAATTCATATAGCAGTTCAAAAACATGCAAATGTGAATAGAGCAATAGGTACCACTCTGGCAGGAAGGTAAGGGCGCTCCATGCAGTCATGCCAGTGGCCACATGACTTTGGAGGTGTCTATGGACAATGGTGGCTCTTCAGCTAAAAAATGGAGATGAGCACCAGAGTCCCAGAGTTGGACATGACTGGATTTAATGTCAGGGGGAAACATTTAGCTTTAACCTATACAGTACACACACACAGTGTGGATATACTACTGTGTGTTTTGTTTCGTGAACAAATTGTGGGACTATAGATATCCTACGCTACCTCCCCAACTGTCCTACCTCCCTGACAGGGGCAGACCCCCCCCCCAGCTCCTGGCTCCCCCCTGCTTTGCTTGGCTTCACCATCCCCACCAAGTTGCAATGGAAACGACTGTGACAGGCTCTGAGCCTGGGGTCCGCTGCTACTGCTGCCTGTGCTTCTGCCTCCTCCTCTTCTTCTTCCTCTATGTGGGTCCCCCTTCAGACTCTCTCCTGCCTCAGAAGCTTGGTGGGGGCTGGAAGCCTTGGAAGTGCCAAGAGGAGAGAAGAGAGGAGGTTGCCCCCCCCTTCTCTCTCTATCCCCCAGGCTGTGCAAGGCGTGCTCTCCCCTCTTTCCCATGCTTCCTTCTTTCTTTCCTCCCTTCTTCCTTTCTCCCTTTCCTCTGTCGCCACAGCAGGCAAGGAGGAAGGTGAAGAGGAAGGGGTCATGCTACCGTGAGGGAGGAAGGAAGCTCCCTGCCGCGGTGAGGAAGGGAGCTCGGTGCCGCTTGCTGTGCCAGTTCTGTTTGTATGGCCGTGCGTGCGCACGTGCTTGGTTCTCAATGCTGTAACAACCGCTTTTCCCTTGTATGGATTTTTGAGGTTTCTGCTGTTTCTTTGGGGGTTTTTTTTAGTAGAGGACATAAATTGGGTTGTTAGGTGTATCGTGTCCAAATTTGGTGTCAATTCCCCCAGTGGTTTTTGAGTTCTGTGAAAATCACAAAGGAACATTACATTTTTCTTTATATAGATGGTAACTTTTCAAGATTAAAGGTGCGATGAATGGAAATTAGAATTTTTTTTTAATTGGGTTGTGTGCTCTTTCGAAAGGATACCTGCTTTTTTGGAAAATCTAGGATGGTTTCACAACATGAAACATTAAGTCAAGTCAGTGTGCAGATTGGAGCCCTTGGTGGCGCAGTGGGTTAAAGCCCTGTGCCGACAGGACTGAAGACCGACAGGTTGCAGGTTCAAATCTGGGGAGAGGCGGATGAGCTCCCTCTATCAGCTCCAGCTCCTCATGCGGGGACATGAGAGAATCCTCCCACAAGGATGATAAAAACATCAAATCATCTGGGCGTCCCCTGGGCAATGTCCTTGCAGACAGCCAATTCTCTCACACCAGAAGTGACTGGGGGCTCCTTATTATATTATATTATTATATTTTATTATATTATATTATCATTATATATAATATAATATATTAAATAATAATAATAATATCCACCCCTCTGTGGCTCAAGGTCAGGTATAGATATAGATCATAATTATTATATTATAATTTCATACACAATTATGTATAATTATATTATTTATTATATAATAAGAATAATAACAACAGCAACAACAAAATAATAATGAATCTATAACCCGCCTTGTCCTGTGCCTTGAAGCCAGACAACATTCTTTATCAACAAGAGAAAACACTATTAAAAGACACACAACAAGTGCGAGTTTAACGGCTGACTGAATGGCATTAATTTGCATTCCCCATTTACTAGGAAAAGGTTTTACTCTGCAGATTAATGGGGTTGAACTGTTCTCATAGCTTTGTTTTCCTTCTCCTTGCTTTCAAGAAGATCTAGAAATCTTGCCATTTATTCCCCAGAATAACTAAGGACCATCTTTGTCTTGATGCGACAAATTATTTGTATCTTGCTTTGGGAAAGAAAAATATAATAATAATAATAATAATAATAATAATAATAATAATAATAATAATAATGTTGATATATTTTTAAGTGCTTTGAATCTCCTTTGAGAGGGAAAAGGCAAGATATTATTGTTCATAATAATAATCATGAATATATTTTTGTGTTAGCTGCTTTGAGTCTCCTTTGGGAGAGAAAAAGCAAGATATTAATATTATTATTATTAATAATAATAATACAAAATAATATTTTTGCTTATCCAACGTTCTGCCGGCCTGCTTATGTTGGGTAAGCGAGACTCTACTGTATAAATAATTATAGCAACAACAACAATAATAAATGACTTTTAGTGTTAGCTGCTTTGAGTCTGCTTTGGGAAAGGAAAAGCAAGATATAAATAATAATGGAGGAGGAGAAGGGAGAAACTGGGACATTTTACAAGTAGCTGAGGAAGTGGGACGACAAAGGATTAATCCAGATTAAGGTAAAGGTAAAGATTTCCCCTGACGTTAAGGCCAGTCGTTTATGACTCTGGGGGTTGGTGCTCGCCTCCATTTCTAAACTGAAGAGCCAGCGTTGTCCGTAGACACCTCCAAGGTCATGTGGCCGGCATGACTGCATGGAGTGCCATCACCTTCCCACCGGAGCGGTACCTATTGATCTACTCACTACGCATGTTTTCGAACTGCTAGGTTGGCAGAAGCTGGGGCTAAAAGCAGGAGCTCACGGCGCTCCCCCCCCAGACAGTTTTGCATGTGTGCTGTGTTGTTATGTATATTTAAGGAGCCCCCGGTGGCACAGTGGGTTAAACCCCTGTGCCGGCAGGACTGAAGACCGACAGGTCGCAGGTTCGAATCCGGGGAGAGGCGGATGAGCTCCCTCTATCAGCTCCAGCTCCTCATGTGGGGACATGAGAGAAGCCTCCCACAAGGATGATAAAAACATCAAATCATCCAGGCGTCCCCTGGGCAACGTTCTTGCAGACAGCCAATTCTCTCACACCAGAAGCGACTTGCAATTTCTCAAGTCGCTCCTGACACGACCAAAAAAAAAAACCACCAGGGGGCTCCAGATTATTCCAGGCAAATCAAGATTATTATTATTATTATTATTTAATTATTATTATTATTTATTTACTGTATTTATACCCCGCTCTTCTCAACCCTGAAGGGGACTAGTAATTAAAAAGTATATTAAAAGAACTAAGTTCTCTATTTTACAGAAAGGTTTCTGATCAACAGAGATCTCAAATGAAGATGGATTTAAAGGGAAATATCTCTTCCATATTTTTTTTCGTGTCAGGAGCGACTTGAGAAACTGCAAGTCGCTTCTGGTGTGAGAGAATTGGCCATTTGCAAGGATGTTGCCCAGGGGACACCCGGATGTTTTTGATGTTTTACCATCCTTGTGGGAGGCTTCTCTCATGTCCCCCCACGGGGAGCTGGAGCTGACAGAGGGAGCTCATCCACACTCTCCCCAGATTCGAATCTCCGACCTGTCAGTCTTCAGTCCAGCCGGAACAAGGGTTCAACCCATTGCACCACCGAAGGTTCCTTTCATTCCAGCGAAAGATGTGGAGAGTAATACAAAGTGAATGGTCACAGGTTGATAAATCACGAAATGGCAGTAAGGATAAATCTGATTGACTTGGTAAAAAAAAAAACTTAATATCTGCCAGGTTTTTCCTCCCCTCCGTTCTGCGTCCATGTCCTACGTTGATCCTAAAATCCCTGTGATTACGGCATTAATAGAGAGAGATAATTATTCGAGCAAATCTCATGCTGTTTAATCAACTAAACGATCTTCCGTTAAGTTCAGGAAATTATTCATCTGTGTTGATAGAGCTCCCGTACCATTTCTGTTCTCAAGCATAATAATAAACCGGACAATTGTATTACATTTCTAACAGAACAAAACAGACAAACAAACAAAACACAAAGTTTGCAAGCTTGGTAGTTGATTAAATGTCCTTTGACCAGTATCTGGCCACTTGGAGTGCCTCTGGTGTTGCCACAAGGAGGTCCTCCATTGTGCATGTGGCAGGGCTCAGGTTGCATTGCAGGGTGGTCAGTGGTTTGCTCTTCTCCACACTCGCATGTCGTGGATTCCACTTTGTGGCCCCATTTTTGAAGGTTGGCTCTGCAACTCGTGGTGCCAGAGCGCAGTCTGTTCACCGCCTTCCAAGTTGGTTTTCTGTGTGCCCAGCGGGGAGTCTCTCATTTGGTATCAGCCATTGATTAAGGTTCTGGGTTTGAGCCTGCCACTTTTGGACTCTCGCTTGCTGAGGTGTTCCAGCAAGTGTCTCTGTAGATTTTAGAAAACTATTTATTGATTTAAGTCGTTGACATGCTGGCTGATACCCAAACAAGGGATGAGCTGGAGATGTCTCTGCCTTGGTCCTTTCACTATTGGCTGCTACTTCCCGGCGGATGTCAGGTGATGCAGTGTAATTTCTCCAGTGGTGTAGGGCACAGACACCCTGTGATAATGTGGCATGTCTCATTAAGAGCCACATCCACTGTTTTAGTGTGGTGAGATGTGTTCCACACTGGGCATGCATACTCAGCAGCAGAGTAGCATAGCGCAAGGGCAGATGTCTTCACTGTGTCTGGTTGTGATCCCCAGGTTGTGCCAGT